CGCGGGGTAGTCTCCCCTGTAAAAACGCGTCACAATGCCCAAACCGGTTTACACGAATAAAAGAGAGACGTTAAACCGTAAATACTAGATTAACAAAGCGTGACAAAAGGCTTTGTAAACCCAGCAATGCGTAGTAGACCCACGCGCTCTTATTTAGGGGCGATGATAGCACCGTCACGAAGCCTAGTCCTACTTTCGTCCTCTACCTTCGTCACCGCGGGGGGTAGTTCTTCTGTAATAACCGTGACATGCACTCAGACAGGTTAAGCGTAAGGAGCGGAGTAATTCTTAATACTAGATTTACAATTACTGCCTGAGCGATCCAAAGGCTTTGAACCCAGCAGCTAGATTACCCGGCTTTCTTGGGCGGATTATGATACACCGTTCACGAAGCCTAGAATTCCTTACTTTCGTCTCTACCTTCGTCTACTGCGTGGTGGAGTCTCTCCTTAAAAAATACTCCTGACATGCCAACCCTAGCGTACGGGAGTTAGTAATCTTTAATACCCAGATTAAAGGCTGCGCACAACAGCTTATGGTAAACCCCTAGCTAGCCGTGACGACCGGGCTCTTTTGGGGACAACCGGGTGTATTTAACATACCACCCACGAAGCCTAGGCCTACCTTCATCTCACCTTCGTCACGGCTGGCGAGTCTCTGTAAAACCGTGACATGCAACCGGTTACGTAAGGGAGATAATCTTAATACTAGAATTACAAAGGCTGACAAAAGCTTGTAACCCAGCAGGGCTGAGACCGGGCTCTTTGGGAGGTGCTCAGGTGAAGTGTACACCAGTCACGATAAGTCTCTAGGCCTACCTTTCGTCTCTTCTTGCACCGGCGTGCCGGGGCGGAGTACTCTGTTTAAAAACACCGTGAATTGCCTATGCCCGGTTAGCCGTAGGGAGAGTAATCTTAACCCTTAGATACCACAGGCGTGCACAAGGCTTTGTAACCCAGCAGGAGACATGGAGCCAGGCTCACTTTGCGGGCCCGGTGAATGTACACCTCGCTCAAAGCCTAGGCCCTACAACCTCTCGTCTCTCTACCCTTCGTCACTGGCGGGGAGTCACTCTCTGTGAAAAACCCTGATGCATGCTACTCGGTTAGTCTGTAAAGGATGAGTTATCTTTAACACCTCTAGATGACAACAGGCGTGCAAAGGCTTGAAACACCATCAGAGTGAGGGGGGGGGAAACCCCCCTCCCCCCCCCCCCGTCGGGGCTTTCCCTCTTTTACCGGGGGGGGGGCAGTTAAGTGGATTGTTACACCTCGTCACGATAGAGCCTTACTAACGCCACTCACACATGTAAATAAAACAGATGTCACGACATATCCTTTCATAGAAAATAAAGAAAAAATTGATGATGTCATTATTAAGGAAAATGTTGAAAATGTAGAGTACGCAAAAAACTTCATTGAAAATACCACACCCAACATTCAATGAGTTGCTTATTCAAAATCCACAGTACACTTCTCCAGACGATGAACACCTATTTCGCAAAAATTCCGCTAAACTTTTGTCATGCGCTTAGGTATTGATTCTCCACTTGAGCACAATTTACATAATACGTCTCGCAACTGTAAAAAAGAACATTTTTTTCTTATCAGGAAAAATGAAATCCAAAATGTCATTTTTTCCTATTCATAACATCTCGAAGTCTATATCTCCTGACCGAGAATTACACAATCTTCTCTACAGTATTGCATTACTCACAGTTACCTTGCATCGTACATATAAGCAAATAAAAAATGTATACATCGACTTATACCACCTTATACATTTCTAATTTTTATATTTAATAAGCAGACACACCCCTCCAGATTTTAATAAGAATATCTTTCACTTTGATAAATTGCGAGAATATGTATTCTTCAAGTAAATTTATTACTATCTAAAGACTTTAACAACAGGACTTATTTTTAAAACTTATTTAGCATTATTATAAAATAAATAGATACAATATTTACAGCTCTCCAACGGAGCGCTTAAAATGATATCTACTTAAGGATCATTTCTAAAAGATTTACACAGAAGAATAAAGCCAACAACATATTCAGTATGTTACCTTCTAAATGACATTACCGAGAAAGGAAGTGCATCGTCTTGGGGATGTATTAAAGCACCACGTCCATTCCCTCTATTAAGAGTCGAAATATTCGAAAATCGTTCTTCTTCCCCGGGTTGAGAGTATTTCGGAAATTTCCTAAAACCACCAGGTAAGCTGCGTTAACGCATATCCAATGAAAATCCTCCACTGACGCTGTTTCTTACAAAAGATGATTTAAAATTTAATGAATCACGAAAACTCATTGAAGACAATTTTATGGATTCTTCCTAACTGTCTTTAGAATGGCTAACTGTCGATATTGTAAGATAAAAGAATTAATATTCATGAAAAGCGGTAAAAGATGTTACCAATCTTACAAAACATCCTGTTTCGCTTAAGACAAAAATAAAGCATAGATGGGCTTCGTGTTGATCCCACAAAAAACAATTAAACAACAGCAAATTTCAACACATTATAAGAAACTACCTAATATTGTTCACGACTATATATCAGAGAAAGGATCCACCCCAATCTAATCTCTCTAGTATTTTTATTTTTTACTATCTGACCACGTTATCAATTAGCTCATTATGGTGTGCT